GGATCTTAAAACCATTTGACATGGACAAAGCTACACTTTTACCCTTGAGAGGCTCGCTGGACCGAAAACCCAGAAGGGCGACCCAGGCAAAAGTTAGAGCAAGAAAAAGAATAAAAAAATAAAAATGCAAAAAAAAAAGAAAATAAGAAAAGAAGAAAAATGAAGAAAATGAAAAGAAAAGATGAAAAAGAAAAAAAGAAAAAGAGAAATGAAAAGAATTAAAAAGAAAAGAAGAACAAAGCTCGCAAGGTTGAAAACCCAAAAAGGGCAGCCTTGGCAAAAGTTAGAGCATAAAAGGAGAGGTTAATACCCGAGTGTCCTTAACCCCGAACTACGTAAGGCTTGATTCCCACCTTTGAGATACGTAGGCAACTTCATTCTGAAGTCCAGCCATAAAATACTTCAAATTCGACTGTGTCCATGTGATGGTTCTGATCATCGTTGTCTTCTCTGTATCCGAGAGTTCGATTGTGACCGCCACCTTGAAAACTGGTTACAGTGTGCTGCGGTGCTATTCAAACAAGGGGCAACTTTCCGTTGCCTGTGCACTGCGGTGCCATTCAAACAAAGGGCAACTTTCTATTTCCATGCAGTGCCGTTCAGACAAGGGGCAATTCTCCTTCGGATCTGAGGTTGTGCATCTCGAGAGTAGGTTCCGTGCTCGTTGAGCAGCGGCCGTTTGCAAAAATAGTTTTTGAGAATTTTTACTGAGGTTAACTAATTTTCTCGAAAAGTATTCCATTTTTCAAAACTGGACCATTTCTTGGACCCAAAAAATGAAAATTTTCAGTGTTCATAACCTGACTTGCATGATTTGAAATCAGAAAATCGAACAAGTGTGTTAATCTAACCCTCATATTGGTCAAAATTGTTTTAGTAGAAAGTAAAAACAAAAATGGTCAAAATAATGAACTAGGGGCACAGTTGAGTCAAGTGTTCTGTCTTTTCCCCGTTGTCGACATACTTGCCAAAAAAGGGCACTCTACCTGCCGGAAAAGGGTACCACTGAAGCTAACAACAAAGGGCTGAAAGCTCTCAACATCCTCCAAGCAACGAGGTATCAAGCCAAGTGCGAAGCATGAACTGGAATGGATCAAGATATTCCACTCCCTCGTCTGGACACATTTGATCATGTCTAAACCCCCTAGCAGAACATCGTCAACCGATGTCAGCTGCAGATTTGCTACACACCCAGTTGTAGCGCAACCCCTCTGCGGGAAAGTTCACTGTTGTGAGCAGAAGAAGAGAATCTAGTAGAATGCTAGGGGCAAGAGCCCGGAACTTCCTGTTTATCTATCAACCACCCTGGGGAGGGATAAAAAATGAGAGATTAAATAATAGAGAGATGTGCCCTGAGAGAAAAAGTGAGGAAAATGGCTTTTTTTAGAAAAACAGAGCTTGAGGGCCGAGTGATGTGAGAATCACAAATGAGAAATGGTGGAAAACAATACGCAGAGAAACTGGCTCCTCGTGCACTGAGAGGTCTCTTGTCTTTATAACACAGCTGAGTGTTGTGTTTGCGTGTTTTTGTTTGTTTCGATTCTTGTTTTGAGTCGTTTGAGTGTCAATAGATGTATTTAGGTTGTTTTACCTTGTCTTTCCTTTGTTGAGTTGTGTTTAGGTTGTTCTCCTTTGTTTTTCGTTGTTGAGTCGTTTTGGCCGTGATCAGTTGTAGGCTCAATACCTGGTTGAGAACTCTTTTCTCATTTCAATTTCAAAAATAAATCGTTTTGTGCCCAGAGTACTGTGCCATTCTCCACATTTGTGCAAAACAGGATTTGTTCTTTCATAAAACTGTAGGGACCCAGGTCACATGAGAAAGAACAGTAGAGCAAGGACCTATCTAAAGCTATATAGATTCCAGACTGCAAAGCAAAAGAAATGAGGGAAAATTCGGAGCATCTGAGTGTGTTTCAACTTCTGCAAGTTCCGTCATTGCATCCCGTCCGTCCAGAATGAGCTGTGTGTTCAGAATGAGCAGTGTGCTATTACGTGCTGTGTGTTCAGAATGAGCAGTGTGCCGTTACGTGCTGTGTGTTCAGAATAAACGGAGTACTGTGTTATGAGCTGTATGTTCAAAATAAACCGAGTACCATGTTATGAGCTGTGTGTTCGGAATGAGCAGTGTGTCATACGAACTGTAAGTTCAAAGTGAACAGAATACTGTGTTGATTGTTTCAGAGCCAGGATGGCAATCAGAAGTGCTCTCCTTGAGGACCATTCCCCGTCAGAATAGAGCGGTTTACCGCCACTCATTCCATGAGGTGCTTTCTAAAGTGCCGCTTTGTTTGTTTATTGCATTCCCTAAACATCATGCTCTACATTGCTTGTAACATGCATCTTATCATCGCACTTATTGCATTTATCTGTATCTTGTGTTATCTTGTATCGTTAATCCTTTTACGCTGAGCAGCATTTAGGATCGTTGCCCTCCTGGGCTTTCTCAGGTTGCGTTGTGTGTGCACCTGGGCGGTTGTTTTCGGTCCTCTTCTCACGTTTTCAGCGTGGTTAGAGTGTTCCTTTCCTTACACGATTTTAGCATGTTTGGAATTAATCTTAGCTTGCATTGTTATGCATGCTCATTTCCGAAACACCGGGATATGTCCCTGTGTTTCTCCCTCTTTGGTTAAAAGCATTTGGAATACGTTCCAATGCTTGAGCCATTCCGAAACACCGGGATACATCCCCATGTTTCTCCTTCTTTTTGAAACACCGGGATACGTCCCCATGTTTCTCCTTCTTTTTGAAACACCGGGATACGTCCCTATGTTTCTCCCTTTTCGATTAAGAGCATTTGGAATACGTTCCAATGCTTGAGCCATTCCGAAACACCGGGATACATCCCCATGTTTCTCCTTCTTTTTGAAACACCGGGATACGTCCCCATGTTTCTCCTTCTTTTTGAAACACCGGGATACGTCCCTATGTTTCTCCCTTTTCGATTAAGAGCATTTGGAATACGTTCCAATGCTTGAGCCATTCCGAAACACCGGGATACATCCCCATGTTTCTCCTTCTTTTTGAAACACCGGGATACGTCCCCATGTTTCTCCTTCTTTTTGAAACACCGGGATACGTCCCTATGTTTCTCCCTTTTCGATTAAGAGCATTTGGAATACGTTCCAATGCTTGAGCCATTCCGAAACACCGGGATACATCCCCATGTTTCTCCTTCTTTTTGAAACACCGGGATACGTCCCCATGTTTCTCCTTCTTTTTGAAACACCGGGATACGTCCCTATGTTTCTCCCTTTTCGATTAAGAGCATTTGGAATACGTTCCAATGCTTGAGCCATTCCGAAACACCGGGATACATCCCCATGTTTCTCCTTCTTTTTGAAACACCGGGATACGTCCCCATGTTTCTCCTTCTTTTTGAAACACCGGGATACGTCCCTATGTTTCTCCCTTTTCGATTAAGAGCATTTGGAATACGTTCCAATGCTTGAGCCATTCCGAAACACCGGGATACATCCCCATGTTTCTCCTTCTTTTTGAAACACCGGGATACGTCCCCATGTTTCTCCTTCTTTTTGAAACACCGGGATACGTCCCTATGTTTCTCCCTTTTCGATTAAGAGCATTTGGAATACGTTCCAATGCTTGAGCCATTCCGAAACACCGGGATACGTCCCTATGTTTCTCATCTTCTCTATGGGTTTGCAGTTCGATCCGCAAAGTTCATTGCGCGCAAACAATGGGTTGTTGCTGGTGCTGATGACATGTATATTCGTGTTTACAACTACAATACAATGGATAAGGTCAAAGTATTTGAGGCGCACACGGATTATATTAGGTGTGTGGCTGTTCATCCTACGCTTCCATATGTGCTGTCATCGTCTGATGACATGCTTATAAAGCTTTGGGATTGAGAGAAGGACTGGGCGTGTACTCAAATTTTTTAGGGTCATTCTCATTATGTTATGCAAGTGACATTTAATCCGAAAGACACCAACACATTTGCAAGTGCATCTCTTGATTGCACTATAAAGGTATGAATTGGATTGTCTATTACTAACTTGTTAACTACAATTTAATATAATTTGGTATAAAGCACATGCACACATTGATAAATTTGTTTTTGTTTTCCCTTTCTTCTTTTTTCAGATTTGGAATCTTGGCTCTCCTGGCCCAAATTTTACATTGGATGCCCATTTGAAAGGGGTAAATTGTGTTGATTACTTCACAGGTGGCGATAAGCCTTATCTGATAACTGGTTCTGATGATCATAATGCAAAGGTTTGCTGCCTGTTTTCCTTTTTCTTCTTCTTCCTTGTTGGGTTCATGTACGTGTACAATGTGAAAATATTTTTGGCTATATTCTATGAAAACAGGTGTGGGACTATCAAACCAAAAGTTGTGTCCAGACACTAGACGGGCACACCCACAACGTTTCAACTGTTCAGTTTCACCCTGAACTTCCCATTATAATTACTGGTTCAGATTCCTTACTAGTAGATTCGTGAGCTTGTTTTGTTCACAAACTTTAATGTGGTTATCCTTTGGATGTCAGAGTCTGGGATTTAAGGCATGAAGGGATGGAAAGAAGCCATGCTTAAATTGTCTAATTAACCAATAATTAAAGTTGGAAGTAGTTGTGGTTGAATTGAGTTATTGCTTTTATTGAATAGAATATTGCAATTTCAAGGAAGAAAATTTAACTACTCTTGCTAAATTTGTTGAATGTATCCTTGAATCTGTTTAACACTTTTCTTTCTGTAACTTCGTTTTCTGTTGCCGTTGTATTCTTTGGACAGGGTTGTAATTGGTTATGATGAAGGAACCATTATGGTAAAAATTGGTCGAGAGGAACCTGTAGCTAGTATGGACAATAGTGGAAAAATCATATGGGCTAAGCACAATGAAATTCAGACTGTTAATATTAGGAGTGTTGGTGCAGATTATGAGGTTTGATTCAATTTTGTTCTCATCTTTTTCTGAATAAAACTACAATGATTTCTGCTCAAGGTGATATTAAAATTCACTGTGCTTTTTTCTTCTCAAGTTATTGGTAGAGAAAGATTACCTTTGGTAGTGAAAGAGTTGGGGACCTGTGATCTTTACCCACAAGTGAGTTGGCCTTCTTTGGATGTAGTAGATATTATTTGATATGTTGTGCGATGATTTGAATTTTCACACTAGTGAGCTGGCCTTCTTTTTGAAGTAGCACTTCTGCTATAATTTTCTAATTGAAATACTAAAGCATGCAAAGATATCTGGTAGAATAACTTCAATAAAGTTCATTAGTGATTCAAGATGTACGAGTTTGTTGTTCATGCTTTAAATGTTTGGCTGCTTCATATGCTGAATGAACATAGATACCCGCCATGTCTTGTTGTCTAAATAACATAACAAATTTCAAGGGTTTTGCTATGAAACTTTGGTTGAACTGTTGATCTGGGCTTGAATAACTTTTCTTTGCTTGGCACTACTGTTGGGGAAGGATTAGACAATAGATGTGACCCAGTTTGAGAGTTAGAGCCAGATTTCACTTTAGGCAAACTAGTTCCTTAAGAAACTTGAATTCGAGGTGTTGACGCCCCAAAATCACCAAACGGGTTCGGATTGACACGAAACTTGATACACACGACCGCCTAGGCACGAGAGACTTATGGGAGAAGACAGGGCTCGAATCGGGTTCCCGGTTTGGAAGTTAGAACCGGATTTCACTCTAGGCAAACTAGTTCCTCAAGAAACCTGAATTTGAGGTATTGACGCCCCAAAATCACCAAACGGTGTTGGTTTAGCACGAAACTTGGCACATACGACCGCCTAGGCACAAGAGACTTGTGGGAGAAGATGGGACTCAAATCGGGTTCCCGGATTGAGAGTTAGAGCCAGATTTCACTTTAGGCAAATTAGTTTCTTAAGAAACTTGAATTCGAGGTGTTGACACCCCAAAATCACCAAACGACGTCGGTTTAGCACGAAACTTGGCACACACGACCGCCTAAGCACGAAAGACTTGTGGGAGAAGACGGGGCTCGAATCGGGTTCCCGATTTGGGAGTTAGAGCCGGATTTCGGTCTAGGCTAACTAGTTCTTTAAGAAACTTGAATTTGAGGTGTTGATGCCCCAAAATCACCAAATGGCGTCGGTTTAACACAAAACTTGGCACACATGACCGCCTAGGCACGAGAGCTTGTGGGAGAAGACGGGACTTGAATCGGGTTCCGGTTTGGGAGATAGAGTCGGATATCACTCTAAGCAAACTAGTTCCTTAAGAAGCTTGAATTGGAGGTGTTGATGCCCCAAAATCACCAAATGGGGTCGGATTGGCATGAAACTTGGCACACACAGCCGCTTAGGCATGAGAGACTTGGGCGGCCAGAAGGCCTCCGCCACCCCAACAGTAAAGGTATATGAGATCATATATGTCCTAATTTGTTTTATTTATGTCATTATTGTGTGTATATTAATTCTTGGGTTTGTGCTTATGTAAGGTTAATTAATGGTTAGGGTTAGTGGGACGTCACCCAAGTCGCGTAGGGTTTAGGTCGTGTTGCAGAGAGTGCGTTTGACCGTTTGATGCCCGTAAGTCGTTGACAGACGTGCTAAGCTAATCTTACCTTTAGTGAGCACCTTTCATGGTATCAGAGCCAAGTTTTAATAAACATATAATAATCATATAAATATAATAAATTAGACATATATGATCACCGTACAACCATGTCTGAACAAAATGAAAATACTGTAGAAATACCAGGCACTGAATCAGTAACAACTGTAGGAAATACTGTTTCCTCATTAGCCGAAGCTGCAGAATTAGTTGCATACCAGGATGTTAAACAGGCCCTAGATAAATGGACCATACCATCAGTAGATCCATATACCATATACAGAAAAGGAAAATTCCAATTCCTCAGCAGAACAATAATCAAGACATTTGAACATGCATCTTGCATCCAGAATAATGATGAAATTATTAGACTAATTCATGTTAATGATTTTGTCCCCTTTCTGAAAGATTATAAGTACATCCATATAGGATTGGTACAAATTGCTTTTAAACCTTTGACCCTTCTTGGTCAAAACACCAGTATCCAGTGCACCCTTCGTGATGGACGCTGCCTTGATTGGCGAGCTTCACTTATGGGAGCCATTGAGACAAGTTTGTCTCATGGACCAGTTTATTTTGATATTTATCCGAATCTTAGTGTTGCTTTATGTGACGCTAATTTATCCAATGTCTTAGAACTCAGAGTTCTCACTCATGGATATAATTATAAACCAGGTACTCCATTTTTTTCTGTACATTCCCGAATCTACATAAAGGCTTTAACAACTTTAAATCCTTATGTAAAAAAGAAAACTGAAACAGGTCAAACAGTCTTAATTGAGACTAACCTCTACAGTAGTCAAGTTGCTGTCCCCAAGATGATCGCTTGGAAAGACATAACTTTTCCAGATAGGTGGGAAATACCTAATGCTGTACCACCTAAACCTATGATTCAACATAACATCGACGATGTTATCCAGACTCAAGGAGGTCATGTGTATCTCCAATTCCAGAAACCCATGCTTACCAGAAGTAATTCTTCTAATGCTAGTTTTCGAACCGCACCAAGAAGTTTTTCTAATAATAGTTTCCGATCTGTCCCTCCTTACCAAGTGGACTATCCAGAATCCAGCCGTCAATCTGTTGACAACCAACCAACCAGAAGACAAATAGAAAATATTCTTCAACAGATACCTTCTAGGCCTCCTAGTAGACCACCTAGTGATCCACAAGAAGATCCTATGACATCAGAAATTCAAGGAATCCGTCTTTCTCAAAATCGTATTCCTCATGGTGTTTATACTGCACCCCCAGTTCCAACACCTTCTCCAGAAAGCCCTACGGCCAGTGATATGAATTTTGATATTTAATGGATTTTACACCAGGTAGTGAAAATAGAAAAATTTTAAACCAGGAGTTCAACCAGGAACAATATAAAGAATTTAGGAATTGGTATTTTTCCAACCATACTTCTGACCAGTTAGCCATATATAAAACTCAATATTATCATCATCTTGAGTTACATCAGAAACTCATACCTTTTGTGGAATGGTATCATATAGCTACTCAATCACAAGTAACAGTTATTGAGGACCAGTACAAAGCCTGGACTACTGTCGAAGGCCAAGTTATTCATTCTTTACATCCACCAGCACAAGCCTTAGAACTTGTTCCTAATGGCGAAATTACCAAACAACCCTTATCAGCTACCGCTTATATTGATGCACAATCTACCAAATTTACCAAGGCTGAATCGTCTTTAGCTCGACAGAATAATTATACAAATCTTATCTGTCAAACCATCAGTAAACAATTAACTCGTGTTGAGGAAGCTGTTACTACCTTTAAGGATAGAACCTTAGCTCCACCAGTTACAGGAGTCTCTACTCTACATCCAGTATCCATTAAACCATCTTTAGACATTACTAATTTTAAGTTAAAATCATCTAATACTGAGTTTATGGACACTCTTTTACAGAAAATGCAGAATCTTAATGTCCGTCCACCAGAACCGCCTAGACCTCCCGAACAATCTAGCAGTGGATCTATCCACATGCTACGAGCAGAGAACAACCCTGACCAGGACATGTTATCACCAATACAAATTCAGGAAATTCAATTGAATTTCCAAGAACCATCATCTGTTAATAAGATGAACTATTATAGTTCTTCTAAACCAGCCTTTCTACCTCATACCAGAAATTACTATTCTAGACCAACTCCACCAGATATTCTTTATGAAGAATCCTATCTTAATGAACAGAATAGTTACCATGGTAAAACCATTTATGAGTGGAATATCGATGGTGAATCAGAATTTGGCATCTATAAGAAATTATTTCAAATGATGATGTATGCTACCGTTTGCCGCCAATACAGTAATAACGACCAAGCCATTGCTAAATTTATTATTAATGGCTTTACCGGTATTCTCAAAGGTTGGTGGGATAATATCATAACTCCCATACAACAAACTGAAGTTTTAACAGCTATTAAGCTTGAGCTTGATCCGACTACCAACCAACAGGTTCAACAGTCTGATGCTGTTTATACCCTTATTCAGACAATCATTTATCATTTTATTGGTACCAGTACTTCCTCTCAAGACCGCGGCCGAGAGCTTCTCCAGAACTTGCGTTGTCCATCCTTAACCCATTTCCGGTGGTATAAGGATGTTTTCCTTCTTAAGGTTACCCAACGCCCTGATGCTAACAGTACTCACTGGAAAGCCAAATTTATTGATGGCCTTCCTACCTTCTTTGCCGAACGCGTTAGGAAAAAACTTCGGGATCGCCATGACCGGATGTCTATTCCTTATGAACAATACACTTATGGACAATTGGTGTCCATTGTTACCGATGAAGGTCTTTCGTTATGTAATGACCTTAAACTCCAGTACCAAATGAAACAACAAAACTTAACAGGAAGAAAAGAATTGGGAGAATTTTGTGACCAGTTTGCCTATGAGCCCGGTATTAAATACCCAGCCAAAACCAGAAAGAATATTCATAAGAAAACCTCTAAAACTTACAGCAAAAAGTCTTATCCAAAGACTAACCATCCGAAACCTACCAGGAAGTTTTATCCAAAGAAATCTACTGGTAAATCAAAAGGAAAATCTAAATCAGAAGTTAAATGCTACAAATGTGGCCAAACAGGACATTATGCTAATAGATGTAGATCTAAAGCTAAATCCAAGGTTAACGAATTAAACCTTGATCCAGACATTAAAGACCAGTTAATCCAAGCCTTAGAAGCTGAAGAAATTTCAACTGAAGATGAAATCCCTTCTGATGATGAGCTTAACCAGTTATACTCTTCCTCCTCTGATGAAGATGATCCAGAAGAACCATGTCCCTGTAGTACCAATCAGGAACAAATATCAGAAATTAATTACTGGAAATCCATA